TATGTATCCATTCCTTATATGTCACCCCTAAAAGAGGTGCATCTGTGAATTTGTGGTTTTGGAAACGGGGATTGGGCTATCAATCATCACAAGAGTGTACTCATGTTTAAGGGCCTGTTCTGTAGCTGCACCCAGAGCCAATTCCGATTTTCGATTTCCTTTGTTTTGTCAACCAACCACTGTTCTTTTTTGGTGGTGGTGGTGCTGAGAATCCAGCTTCTGTGCTGTGAGATATTGGTCATACATGGTATATATACTGATTTGAGTGGGGATGATTTCCGACTCAAAAGAATGGAAAGTGAGCTTAGGGCCTGTACCACAGCCCCAATTTTCAGTTCAATTTCCAATTTCCAGGTTGGAAATTGACTCCACCAGAAATGGTGTACCATGCACACTCAATTTCCCACAGTACAACAGCCTGATTTTCAGTGCCAACCCCAAAATGAATTTTGGTTAGTGAAAAATAAAAAGATCAAAAATGAAAATGAAAATTGGCTGGGGTGCTATGGTACAGGCCCTTAATGATATTCGGGTGGTGGTTTGGGCCCTTATAAATTTGTCATGGCTTGCCAGTTTCTGTGACTGTCATCCTAGGGTGCAGTAACATCCCAGCTGCTCGATAGTCTCTGGACTCTGTGGATGCAGCCACTTTTTTTTTTTTTGGCCTAGTGAAGCTCAATGCAAAGAATGGAGGCCTTCAGCACGTAAATACAGATTTAAAAGGCCTGTCAATAAAACCAACACTAAGTCCTCCAATGGAGGACTTCCAATCAACCAAGCTCAACCAGGCCTCCATGGCGGGAGTAATAGCAAGCAGTGGAGGTCTATGACTGCTGCGGCAATCCCCACATGGTGAGTCTTCAGAATTGTGTTGAAAACTGATTTTTGTTTGTGCATTTCCCCCTTGCAGTGCTTCCTCATTCACATCTTTGTGATTTCCTTCTGGCACAGGGGAGGCCTGCATCCTATACATATTTCCCTGTGTTCAGTTTTTTTTTGCTACATATGTCCTCAAATCATTTATAGCAATTATTGAGCATGTTGAGCGTTCAACTGAAGTCAACCTCTTTTGGTGTGTGCACAAGTTGAGCAAATTGCACGTTTGGGCTTAGAAAAAAGTTCCAACTGTAATTTGTTTGAAAACTCAATATAAAATTGGAATGGGCTGTACCAGTTTTTGAGAACTGGATGGATTGAGAAGAACTACATCATCCAGTGCGTCAAGAAGATCTGTGCAAGGATCCATAAAACTTTGAGGGAGTCTCATGATTCCATCAAGTCTTGTCAGCCTCAGTGATGCCAAGAGCCAAAACTCTTCTAGCTACACTAGGGGCAAAGTTATAATGGGATATGTACACGTGTGGGTGACACGTGAAAAGTGGGGGAGGTTTGGTAATAAAAGAAAAAGTAAATAAAAACTATTAAGTTTTTATTTACAGAGGGGCCTGAGTTACAGGGGTTTTTATGGTGCCCTCTAATATCAGGTCCTGGGATACAGGGGTGGTACTGATGTTCTGGTCCTTTGTAATAAAGGAGTATGCCCAGAAATAGCCTACAACTGAAGATACAAAGAAATATTACTTACTAGTACTTATCTCTAAGCCAAGGAGGTCTTCAGGAGGGGGAAACTGTTCTTCAGGCGCTCAGAAAGGTGAGTGAGAGATGTTGGAAGAGTGCTGGGGAACAGGTGTTGATTTGGAAGGCTGAAATTCAGATTTCAAACAGCAGGAACTGGGCCAAAAGCAACGGTGCAACAGATATGAGACATGTATTCGTATTGGATCAGATCGTATTTATTTTGAGCCTGATACCGGTATCAGTATTTCCTTGGTTGGTGAAGAAATACATTGTATCGGATTTGGATTTAAAAATGAAAAAAAATTGTCTTCGTTTTTTCATTTTTTCTTCAATACGGCCAAATATCTTATGTATCAAATACGGTTTTGGTGGTATCAGTCATCTGAGACGATACAGAATACATTTCTCACTTTTCAGAGACGATACATGTGTATGTCTCAGGAAAGTGAGACAACACAAATCCGGTATTTTTGGGTATTCAAATTCTGAGGCAATACAGATAAACGCCTGATACCATATTGTATTGTCTCTGTTGCACCGTTGCCAAAAGGCAGGTTGAAACTGGTTGTTGGTGACGTTTATGCTGGTAAGTAATAATGAAGATGGGGAATCAAAGTTCAGGGGGAAGAAGGGGCTCTTAAATAACCATTCTGGGCCTCTGGAGGCAAACTCAGGAGTCTCTCTAGTTGCTGTCACTCTCCTACTAAGCCTATGGGAGCTTTTGATCATCTGGAGCACCTGTAGAGCTTGGTTACAGGTGTCAAGGAGATGATGTAAGGTTTGTAACCATGTTTACAGGGTTTTCTGACAAAACTGTAACACTCCTGTAGCCTATTTCAGCAATGCATGATGCATGGGTTGATCCTCAAGAGAGTAATTGTTCCATTATCATGGTAAATATTGGTCCAGTCCAAAATTTCCTCTTGGATGGAGAATATGTATAAGCAAAAAGTGTATTCTGTGATGAACGAGCTTTTATGATGTGACCTGCCAAACACCCTTCTCACCATTGTTATAATCCCAGCCCCCCCCCTGGCATAATCTGCAAGATTATCCAATATTGATATATGAGGCCCCGTTTGGCTGTCCATGTTTTGTAATTTTGAGTTGAGGTTTGGCAGGAGTTTGTGCAAAAACCTTATATTGTTTCATATTGCACGGTCCAAATCCCAGCCAAACTTAGCCATATCACAAATAATGATTTGCGGCCAAACGGGGCCTGATATCTTGGGCAGCCAAATGGAGCCTTAAGGTTTCAATGATGTAAACCTTGTTTGTAGATTTTTCCCAAACTGCATGAACCTTAATTACACCTGTAGCCCCCTTACAACCTGTAGTATGATGTAACTGGAGGGGTCTACAGTGTATTTTGGTCCAATAACACTCAAGGGTTACAAAGTAAGTGAGGGGGTAATAGTTAAGGGGTACACTTGGTGAGCTACCCTAGGTTATTTTGCATGTAGATTCAGAATCTGCAATGATATTCTGAGTTATACTTAAGGTTCAGAATTTATTAGTAGATTCTGGTTAAAAAGTTATTTCTGTTATTTTTATTTAATTATTTTAAATATTTTCTCCTAAAATATTACAATATAAGTGTACTGTGTAATAATGTCTCTATTATAGTGATTCCACTTATTTAAATATTATATTTTATTATGTTAATTGTATGTACATATATAAGTAATAATATCTCTATTTATAAGTAAATGCTACACCTCGGGCGCAGTTCGACGTGGTCGGACACCGATTTTTTCGGTGGATTCCACGAGTGACCACTGCAGCGGGTCGGACCAGCTCCTGACGGTCCACAGTTTTGCGTGGACTCCACCCACCCATCCACGGCACCCCTCCGAAGTTGCCTCGAGGAGCCGACATGAGTTCGGGTAGGGCTGCAGTTGCAGAAACGGCGGGGGCCTCAAAAAGGAAGCCAGTGGGAGTCGAACCCGGGTGGCCAGATGGACTGGCCGGTCAAGGGGGAACCTCGACGACTAGTCCGCAGGAACTTGTTGTTGGGCTTCCCCTTTTGAAATCATATCGACCCGTACTGATTGGTTCCGGGTTATTTTTACTGACATCACAAAAAAAAATTCAAAGTTTTTTTTTTTTTTTAATTTTTTTTTTCTTCAACACTCGTTTTTCTGGAGCTTTTAGACTGTCAGGACCCGTTCTAGCGGGTCGCGGCTGTAGGTAAAAAAAATTTGGCCGCCGTGGAACCGACGTGAGCAACGAGAGCCCGATCGGCTTGGATGGGAGTTCGTGGAATCGACGACGAAGAAAAGCTCGGTTCGTGGAACCGACGACGAAATCAGTCCTTACCGAAGACTTACAGAGCTGATCTCGTCGGTTCCACGGATCAGCCGAGTTTCGTCGGTTCCACGATCCCGCTCGGCAAGAAGTGCCCCTGGGGTGTATGTTCAGGCTGGCTCTGATTAGTAGCAGGCTGACAAGTCTTGTGATGCTCAAGTCACATCAAAACAGTAGAAACTCAACACACCAGTCTGTCAACCTTAGGTTCAATTCTGCCTGGCCAGCAATACACTGCAGTGCTAGTCTCCAGATGCCAAAGCTGAGACTTGTGTCAAGTTTGCCGATCAACCAGATGGCTTGATTTAGAGAGACTGGCTTAACTTTGTTGGCTGGTCAAACAATCTTCACTGGCAAATCAGCTTTTTACTAGCCCTTCCTTGTAAATTAACATATTCATTGGATGACTTCCCATCAACATTTGCAGGTCTCCCAGAGCCGGTTTAGAGCCTCAAACTTTGAATTTCTCTGCAAGAATCAAAGAGTTTTTGGGTCTAGATTGACTTCTGCAAGGGTTCCAGAGCCACTGGGAAGTCCTCCATTGAATTTGGAGGACTTCCTGTCAAATCTGGGATCCTCAAAGCTGTCACTTTGGACCCAAAATGTCCAGAATTTTGCTTGGAAATCTAGCTTTGTGCATGAGGCTCTAAATTGCTTCTGGGAGACCCACAGATATTGATTGACAGGAAGTTGTCCACTATGCTTTCAAGGGCAAGTTCCTTGGATCACACAAATTGTTACTGAGATATCCACATTCATGTCTTGTCTGCTTAATCTGCTTTGTCTCCAAAAACCAGCTATTTGTTTTCCTGCTGATGTGATGTTGTGGAGCCGAGAATCGAAGGATGATGATGATAAATATTTGAATGTTCGGGATGTCATTTCTTTTGGCGAATGTGAACCCTTCTGATTGGTTGGGCTTGGCTTTGGTTAGTATGTGTTTACACACAAAATGTATGCATTTATCTACATAATAGGATGTTTGTACATAAACCTCACCGGTTACACCCATCACCCTTCACTATTTCCTTTCCTTCCCATTGCCAAGAGGAAATTGTCTTCTCCCAACTGAGAAAACAACAACCCAAAACATACGTCCACTCCAAAGCACCAAGATGGCCTTCCTCCAACTCTTCATCCTCGTCACGGTCATGTTCATATCCAGTTGAGTAGTGTCTGAGCTGCAGTCGATCGATCAATCAATCGGGGGTTGTTTCTAACTAGTGTCTTCTGGAATGTTATGTATGTCTAGCATTCATCTTGGGCAGTCTACCACTGAGTCTGTCGACCACCCTCTCGCCCACCCGGTTCCATCAGCTGTCGATCTTCAGCGTCGGGCTGCTCATCGGCGCGGCGCTGACAATCGTCATCCCCGAGGGAATCGACACCATCTATTCTTCTTCCGAGGCCTCTTCCTCCGGCCTTCGCGCTAACCAAACCGACACCTCTCCTCAGCCTATCATCTCACATGAGCCTCAACTTCGTCACCATCATACTACCATCGGCTTGGCTCTCATGGGCGGATTCATGCTCATGTAAACACCTCAACAGTCTCCCTCACCCCCCTCGATTCGTTTCATCGAGTCCATACTAAATCTCCCTTTTTTTGTTTCTTGTCTCTCTTGAAATCTAGGTTTTTGATTGATCAGTTCACTAGGATTCCTACACTCGTCAAAAAGAACCCCGTCGAAGGAAGAGCAAGTCGAAGGAACTCGAGCACCCGCTTATCTAAAGTGGTCTGTTCCTCATCCACTTCCACAACAACATCATCCTCCCAAACGACCCGATTACTTTCCGAGGAAGGCTGTCATGAAGACGGTTTAGTTGAGTATACACTTCCCAGACGTATCTGTTTGGTACAGTGTGTCCCTAATCTCTTTTTATTTTGAACTTAAACAGGTCATCCATCCGGGCCTTCTCATCCTTCGCCCAATGATGAACGTGATGAAGACGAGGAGTTAGAGCCTGAGGGATTAAATGAAGAGGGGCTGGACGAGTCGGGCGAAGGATCCCCAGAGTTAAGAGGAAACAATCGGACAAAGAACATCAAGCTTCATTCCCATTCATTCTCGACGGTGATAGGTCTTCTGACGCATTCAGTAGCCGACGGGATAGCCCTAGGTGCCTCGTCGACCCACGCGACTCATCAAGAGCCAAACGGAAGACTGTCGTTAGCCCTGATAATTTTCCTCGCGATCATGGTTCACAAAGCGCCGGCGGCCTTTGGAATGGTAGCGGTCTTATTAGCCGAAGGCCTTTCGACGGGGGCGGTGCGACGGATCTTGTTGGCGTTCAGTCTGGCTGCGCCGATGGGCGCGTTGACGACTTGGACCGGCCTTGCACTTGTCGACAGACTCACCGGACGGCCCGCCGACCTTCCCGAGAAAGCCGAGGATGCGTTCCAATGGTGGATCGGCGTCACCTTGCTCTTCTCTGCCGGCACTTTCCTCTTTGTGGCCACCCATGCTCTCCAAAACACTTCCTCAAATCCTGTCGACCCTTGTTGTCCCCAAATCCCCGCCAATCCCTCTCCCTCTACTCATCTTGACCCTGAACTCCCTTCCCATCATCTCCATCTTCCTGCTAGATCTCCCCCTAGTCCTTCTTCTTCTTCGTCGCAGGTCTCTGTAAGCCCTTTACTTACTTGCTGTCTAATGGCGTCGGGGATGTGCTTCCCTTGGTTACTTACCTTACTTGTCGGAAGTCACCATCATTAGTTCAGCCCACCTCCCCCCCTTTTTTTTGGTTGTACCCAAGGTTCTGTACTTTTGTGACTGATCTCAACCAACTCAGAATACACTTTGAAAAGTATGAAATTCTCCCTCTCGCTCTCCTTATCTTCAAAGGAGATGTACATCATCTACTGATCTTTTCCCTTGTCCTAGTTGTACACACACATACATACATTCTCCATATATATGCTTGATAAAGATAGACAAATGCCATCCTTTTCTCTGTCTCTCTGTCTCTCTTTTTAAATCATCTCTTTTCACTTCATTTCCTCTGTTTTTGTCTTCTTTTGTGCTCTTGTCTTTGTCTTTTGCTTCTTTTTTTTGAATTTATGAATGGTGAGAAGAAAAAGAAAGGAAGAACAATTGCATCTTCAATAGTTTTGTTGGATCTATTTCTCACCTCATATCAACCCCCTCCAAAAAAAATAAGAAAAAGGAAAGCTGAAAGCTTTCCAAATGAAATTGCAAGATGGAAGGGATTTAGGTGGTTGTATTTCAGTATCTTGATTATGGTCCAATTTTCACAACATCAAACAACAAAGTATGTATGAAGAAAGGGGACAGTTGGAAGATATGAAGTGAGTCCTGATGCCTTAAGTTCAGTTGCTCTATTGTATGAAAGTCAATCCTGTAAGTAAGCTTGTTTTTTTTGGTCTGAACTTGATGCTAACAATTAATCACTATCTGGGGTCCCTGTTCAGATTCACTGGAATACATTATCAGTCTTGAATGATTTGATGGGCCACCCAGCTTTTATGTATCACTGCATGATCAGGGAATTGTTTTTGGTGGTCTTGACTTCTTCATTTTTCCATATGAGGCATTTTTTAATTGGTATACTGGCAACTTTTTTTCCTTTCTTGTTGAGAGTGAACGTTTGGGAAAATAAATGTTGATTGACCATTGCTCATCAAACAGATAATTGAGAGTTTGAAGTCTTGAGGATTCAAAAGATTCTCATGTTCATCTGAGGATTCTGAGGATTCTGTTGATGGGAGATCTTGCTCAATATCTCAAGTAGAACGGGGTATTAAGATTGGTTGTCTGGTCAGTTCTTTTATACATCATCAGATCAAAGAAGTCCTCTTTAATGGAAATCACAATTCTTGCTATTTTATATGTATCTGTCTTCAAGAAACAAACATCAATCATCTTTCAAACCTGGACTTGCAGGAGGTTGTTCCATCAGATACCTGGAAGGTGGTAATTGGTGATAGCTTGGTGGTAGGATTTTGGTTATATGTAAATCAAACTTCGGTTCCAAAAGGAATGGTCTGTGAGTTTAGCTTTGGATGACATCAAGTAAGATCTGCGAGTCTTTAAATTGGGTTGTAACTTGTGCATGAGCTTCTCCCGTGTTTAATCATGTGAGGATGGATATTTAACTTTGGTCTAGTAGGACTAGATCTAGGATAGCCAGAGAAATATCTTTGATTCTGTACTTCTTCACTTTGCGCATCTGTCTGAGTTGATCTTCATGGCCATGTAATTGTTTCATGGAGTTTTGTTTTTGTTTTTTTGGTTTTTGATTGATGAGTAAAGTTTGAGCTGTGCGTTTTTTTGGTTTGATCGGAGTTTGTTTTACCCCATACCAGCCAGCCAGAGCCAGCTTCGGCCTCCTTCTGAACCTACATCAACCGAAAACCCAAGTGCCACCAACCACTCTTGTTGACCATCAATCATCATCATCATCAACTATCACTCTTCCTTCTTCTTCATTCTCTATCATCATCAACAACCGACAAGCACATTCTATCTTCTTCTATTGCATAAGACCTGCATTCTTGGTCGACTTCCCACTTGAATATTCAAACTTGCCTGTACTTGTAAGTCTGTCTTGCCTTCACCTCAATTGGGGTTACCACATCCTTGAAAAAACATCCTTTTGAAGTGTAAAAAACACTGACGGACTGTCGATCTCTCGAATATTATCTGGGTCACCACCATCTCTCAAACATAATAATCTGATCAGTTCCTTGGAATCGTATATAGCTCTTTTCTCTCTCCTCGTCATGCCTCCTCCAGAGTTCCAAACGATCCTGGCTAATCTGCTCCAACAACCTGAGAACAAGACCTGCGTCGAGTTGCGTCATCCATTTTCAATTCTTGGACACGAACCTTATCATGTTTTTACTTACTTCAAAAAAAATCGTATATGCTTCTTTTAATGATTAGCTGTGACGCACCAGCTCCTCAAGTTGAGTCCCCCCTTCTTTTTTGTGAGAGAATAAAAAAAAAAACTGATCAGAAAGGTGGTCAAAATTCGTAGTGGGCATCAGTCAGTTATGGGATATTCTTCTGCTTGAACTGTTCGGGTTCTCATCGAAGTTTGGGCGTCCATCTCTCGTTCGTTAGAAGCGTCTCTTTAGATAAATGGTCTGATGATCAACTGGAAAAAATGAGTTGAGTCTTGATAATTATTTATTCTCAATTAATTAGAGTTTATTCTTACTACACACTCAAATGATATGATGATCATTCACATTTAAACTTTGGACCTTACTGATCCTTTGTCCTTATTTATTTTGCTTTAGAATTAGGTGGGAACGGTAAATGGAAACGATGGTGCAAGGAGCAAGGAGCGGCAGAGAATTACAGCAGTGAGATGACGATCCCAGTGCTTTACAACACGCATTTTGCGGCGCAATATCGAGACAAGTTAGCAGCAGAGGCGGAGGGACGAGAATGGTCGCCATCGGACACGCCGCCGACGATCGTCCATCCACAGGATCCGGAGGGCACCATGGGACTGAGGAAGCCACGAGGACAAATCGGAGGGAAGCTTGGGATCTCATCACGGACGACCAGTTCGGCGGGCTCGTCTAGAGTAGGCACGCCGGTAGGCTCGAACCGAAAGGCGGAGAACGAGGCGTATTTCTCGTCATTAGGCTCGGCGAATGCCCAACGTTCGGAAGATCTTCCGCCATCACAGGGCGGGAAATATGTGGGCTTTGGTAGCGCGGCGAGTACGAGTACTGGGGGGGATGGATGGGATGATGCACCAGCGGTATTAAGCAAAGGCTGGGGATTCCTGAGCTCGACGCTTTCGCAAGCGACCAAGACCTTGAACGAGACCGTCGTCAAACCGGCCCAAGAGACGGTCAACGACCCGGAGTTACAATCCCAAGTCTGGTCATTAGCTAGTCGGTTCCAGAGCACCGTTCTCGAGGCCACTAAAGTCGGCTCGAGCTATGCCGCCGAGGGTCTTAAGGTCGCCTCCCAACAGGCTAAGGCTCATGGTTACGATCTCGGCGGACTCGGAAGTCAACAGCTTGAGGAATTCAGTCGGCAACCCAATCGTCCTGATGTTAGCTCGGCCGATTACTCGCCTATCGATGGTGACTTCCATCTCGATCAAGATCCTGATGAACATGACCAACACGAACATGACGATGAAACCGATGAACATCTTCAAGGATATTCTCACCATCATGACATCGGCTCTCATTATACTTCTCTCTCCTCGAACGCTCCTAACTCTTCTTCTTCTTCTTCTACTAATACTAGTACTAACAATCAACATGACGATTGGTCCAAACTCGCCCCTCTTAGTACGGCTGCTAAACTCAAATCTCAGACTAACAGTAAACCGACTGAGAAAGCTAAAAAACCGGCTAATGATGATGGCTGGGATGATTGGTGATTCTCCTCTCTTTCTCTCCACCTCCATTCGCTTTTTTTTACACCTTCTTTGTTTATTTCCGGGATTTCAATTTTTTTCAAATTGAGCAACACCAAAGCCTTCTTCCCCTCACATAGACCTTTTGTTAAGATCATCCTTTTTGAGATTTCTCTTCTTCCTCTTATACATCCCATCCATCCACACACACACACACATCAACATGCAAACTCCCACAATTCTACAAACACATACACCATACACATTCACAAACGTGCACATACAGAGATACTTAGAACAAGCATTCCTTTTTTGGTTTCTTTTTGTTTTGTTTTGACTCTTGAGAGTTGTTTAAATTGGTAATGCCAGCCTTTCTTTCCATTCTCTCTCTCTCTCTATCTGTTTTTGATTCATCTGAGATTCACAGTGTCAGCTTGTATGTGTAAGTAGATTTTTTTTTCTGCTTCATATGCCAATGGGGTCTTTGTGTTGAATCAATTTCCTTCTTTCTTTGGTTGGTTATCAAGAATTAATCAACAGTCTAAATCAGGCTCTCTTTCTTTTATTTCTTTTTGTTTTGTTTTGTCTCTTTTTGTCTCTTTGTTCATAGAGGACTGATCTTCTCTCTCTCTCTCTCTTTTTTTTTTTTCTTTGTCACTCTATTCCATTCATGCACATAAAACACTTTTTTTTTGGAAATATATGTGCTTTTTTGCTTATGAGTTTTTGGTTTTGCATAGGTAATCAAGAACAGAGACCTATTTAGACAAACAAAAAGGGTCTGCATTTTTGCACACCAAAGTTTTTCCCCCATGCACACCAAAAAGGTGTGCACTCCAGGGACTTTTGGAGTGCACTACCACATATCCTAGTGTTTCTTGGAGTGCATACCAAAAGGGGCAAAACTTGATGATTTTGGAGTGCATGGTTGTGCCCATCAAAAAATATGGAGTGCAAAGCTTTTCACTCCTGTAAGTCTTGGAGGTTTTTACTTCTGATCAGGTATCTTTAGGGATACAACTCCTGCTAAATGGAGTGCACGGAGCTTCACTACAAAACCTTGAAGTGTTTTCTTGGACCCCCAGACTGATATCACACACCTGAATGTCTATAGCTGGGTGATTGTGCATTCCAAAAAAAGGAAGTAAAAATTCTCTCTGTCTGTCTGTCTCACCAGGCCCTCATGGCTTTCAAAAATCACAAAACATTATCTTTTTTTCTGTTGAGTGCCATGAATCAAAAAATAGCATGAATAATTGGGTGTGAGATCAGCCTGTGGGTCCAAGAAAACATTCTAAATTCTTGGAGTAAAGATCTGTGCACTGAGTAATTTGGAGTGAGTAGGATTTGCACCCCTAGAAATACCTGGGAAGTAAAAACACTGGAGTGCATGGTTGTGCACTCCAAAGAATCAGGAGTGCAAATCTGTTAATTCCAAAATCATTAAGTTTTCCCCTTTTGGTGTGCACTTCAACAAGCTTAACTAGGCCTCCACAGCGGGCTGCGGGAGTGGTAGAAAGCAGTGGAGGCCTACTCTTTAAGTAACAAGTCCTGTGTGGCAATATTTTGGATTTTGGCCTGAACCCTACTTATCAGAGTTACATTGTGTCTACTCACTTACTGATTTTTGTTCATCAGATTTCCTTCACAGACATCCATAGAAGGCCTGCTACTTGTACATGTTCCTTTGCATGCACGAGATGGGACATTCAAGCTGTGTGAGATTATGTAGATGCCAAACTACATATTTCCTATGCAATTTCAAATAATTAGCCTTGAAAATTGCAAATCATCATTTAAAAGCTAGAGTTAAAATTACAAATGCATAAAAAATAGCAAGTAGGGTAAGAGTCAGGTGCGCACTGACCCCCATTTTTGAAAACATGGGGGACCCAGGGGCACACACAGGGGGCCGGTGCGCTCAAACCTAAGTGTGCCAATTGTGTTTCAAGGGTTAAATTATATAAAGTCACAGTCCACTATTTTAAAGGGAATATATTATTAGTTGCATCATGGCATACTCAGATTCTACAGGTCATTGAAACCATATTCACTCACTGAATTCACTAGGCTTGCTCTACTCAGAAGTTATTTGGGATTTAACTTTTGTTTGCATGAAAAATGCTTATTTCACAATGTGTACCACAATTGAGCCTTATTTTGTTTACCTATTCAATATTGATTGCATAGTTCAACCACAAGTTGGCCACATTTGTCAGTATGCATATTCAATATTGTTGTATGGCAGTAAACCACAACTGGGCCATATTTTAAATGCATATTAAGTATTTTTTAGGGCTAGAACCACAAGCACCATGAAAAATTTGAGGGCAGTACATGTCAGGTGACATGAAGCTAACTCCTGCCTTTATTCCAGTGTTACTTCAAACTCAAAGGGTTGGGACTCCCTGATGACCACAAAGGGCCCAGTGTTATTTGAGCAGACAAGCACTAGAGTAACAATGGAGTTGTAAAATATGTCACTTCATGCCACCTGACACCTACTGCCCTCAGCTATTTCCTGGTGAAGCTGGTCATTAGGTATTTACATGTTAGGGCTGGAACCACAAGTTGGCCATTTAGAGCTTAGTGGCTAGTGCTAGAACCACAAGCCAGCTGGGTTGTAAAGTAGACTATTTAAGGAGGGCCTTTTCCCCCTCATTACAACTTTCTATCATCTCATCACATCAGAAGATCATCTCATCTGATTAGCAACCAGACAGAGCAGAGAAATCAATCCATGCTTTAACCAATGTGATCTTAATCAAGTGTCCATTGAGTTCTTTCAATAAAGAGGAAAGTAAGAAGCCTCACAACTTGTGCTCTGAACAATAGAAAGTGATCTTAAACCATTGTGCTCATAACCAAAGGTTAGGGAGGAGGGTAAAGACACTTTGAATAGTCACATTTGTCACCACTATCAGTACATACATCAATCATTTCAAACACATAAAACATAAAACATCTCTTACTCATAAGATATATTATCCCCTATCTGAATCAAGCCTGTTGAAAATTCACGGCAAACTCTTCTACATACACATCCACTCAAGATAATACCTGCTGAATTGATGTTGATCTAGTTTTGATAAGAGACTGCTATACATATTGCACAGTTTTCTCTATTATCAGTTTTGCTACAACAACAGATAAAGTTGTTGTGTTAACTCGTGTGTAGTACAACAGAGTGGTAGGTCTTTCAAACCAAGTGTAACAGTTGCAGTACCTCATTACATACTTGAAATATTGCACCTGCAATTTCCCCCTCACAGGACTGCCACCATTCCCAAAGGAATTCTCAGAGGGCTACACTGCCAGATGTGCCTGTGACAGCAGAGAATTGAGTTAAGATTGGCACTTCAAGAAACTCTGTAGTGCGCAGTAGTGCACTCCAAAGAGTGCACAGGGGAAATCTTGAGTGTGCAAAAAGGCAGACCCTTTTGTGATCTATCTTGACTGTCCTTTGGGGTGTTGGTGTTAATAATCTACTCAAAACCTCTTTGTAGATACACAGCAATCACTGTTATCTTTGTATCTTGATCATCCCAGTCTTCTGTGTACTCAATTGTACACCAGGAATATATCACTGGTGATTATAATCATGAACAATAATGGACACAAGTTTATTTTATTTTTGCTTTGTCTCTATTATCACTTGACCATAATGATGCTTTGTGCTTTTCACACGATGTTGTTTAGCTGTGAGTGAATGGTGGGGTATTGGACTTGAGCAGGCATTATAATATCAGCTGGAAACTAATGAACAACTTATATTGCTTGGTGAAACTTACACAGCTGTGTGAAAAGATGTCTTGGATTGGAAGCCTTATTTGTAAGGATTTGTGGTGAAACTTGTTGCTGAGTCTCCTATCCAAATAAGAATGAAAAAAAAAAAATCAAAAAGAGAACAGTGGAAAGAAATTATAAATTTCAACCAGAGATAATTGTGTACCACAAAAAAAGAAGGGAGGGAGGTAGTAAAATCAGTCATCAAATCAACCAATTAGCAAAACAATCAGGGTTGGTGATACAGAAAAAAGAAGGATGCCACAGATTAAATGTAGAAATTAGACAATCAATGAATTGTTTTTAGTTAGGCACGTCTTTCTAATTTTTTGGCTTTCGATCTTGCTTCCATTTTCTTTTTCAATTGATCTGCCCTGGATAAACATAAAATCAAATATTAAAATCCATTTTCCTTTCTTATTTCTTTCTCGATCGAGTGATGGTGGTAAAAGAGAAAAAATTGGATTTGAACTGACTTTTGTTTATTTAGATCGGCTTTATCTTTTTCCATCTTCATGCGATTCTTGTTACTTAATTCTTGTTTCTTCAACTTCTCTTCATGTTCAACAATTTTGGTATTCAAATTTGGTCTTAATAATAACTCTTTTCCAAATTCATATTTTCATCAACAAACGGTTTGATGATCATCAGTTTAACATTCTGCAAGTGTCTTGAATTGTCTACTCCGGCTTTTTTTGACTTTTCTATATATTTAGGAAATTGAAAAAGAAAAGCTATGTACTTACCATCTGTATTTGTATATTTCTTGGATTCGACTTTTTTCCGTTGCCGTTTTTTCATATCCAAGAGTTTCAACTCTTGATCTAATAGATCTACTGGGACTTCATCGGGTTCGTCGGGATCGGAAGCTTTCCCCTTTTGCGCTGAGTTATCTTTCTGAAGTAAGCTGCTAGGTTGATGATCGACCTCGACTTTCCCATAGTTGTTGACAATCGCCTTCTTGCGTTCGATCTCCTTGAGTCTCTCTTCTTCTGCGTTCTTCCTGATTCTAGTGGACGATATCGAGCTCCCTCTCGAGTTGCTCCTCGAACTCGAACTCGATGCTGTTTCCGCTTCCGAGTCTTCTTCTTCTGCCCCCTTGGATAGATACGTATCGGCTTCGTCTATCAACTCCTTCACCGCCTCTTCAATCGTTTTTGGTGCGGCTCTATTCCTAAGAAAGGACAATCGTGGAAAAGAAGAAGCCAGCAGATCAGTTAGTTTGCTGTTCTTTGTTGTTGAAGTATGGTCATTCTACGCGTCTCTATTTCTGAAGGATGGGGAGTGATATAGCAAAGGCCAGAAAGAACAGGGAAGGGAGAATACTTTGTGATTTACTCATCGGTTTTAGTAGAGGGGTGACTAGTAGTACCGGTAGACTCATCGACTTGAAGGGTTGAAGAGGGATCTAAATGAAGCTCTAAAATACCTTGGATTGTTTCTTGTTTTTCTTCGCTCGAGATCTTGAGATCCGATAGTAAGTCTACCACGTATTCGATCGTTGACTTTTTTTGTTCGCGCAAGTGAGAAAGTTTGTCATGAGTATTCTTACACGTATATTTCGAGAAAATATATTACAGATATGGTATTCAGGCTGATGAGTTTCGTACTTACTTCATCGGTTGAAAGAGAGTTGAGTTGTCCATCAAAGGATTGGATGACCGAACGAATAGCCTTGTTTAAAAATTTCTTCATACTTTTTGGTTCGAAGCAAGTTGTGGGATAGTTTTCGCTTCCCTTGCAGTTTGTAAATCCGAGTCCATCACGATCCGATTGATCCGACAAACCAAAACTAGCGTGCGACAGACACCATCCGGAACCCTTATATGTATAATAATGGCATTCTGTTTTCAATTTCTCTCCATAGCCTTGGCCCTTTCACCTTTGCCTTGGTTGAAATGTGAAACCCTAGCCTGTTAATCCTCTACTTGCTTTCGCCCAAACCCGAGATGTGATGCAGAATTTTCCCTGCTGATCCGTTTTACGTGTTTTTAATCAATTCTATTTCAATGCTTGAGAAAAGAAACAACCAACATTAACCTGTTTTTCACCGTCATCAATGCCACAGCCCAAAAAAAGAATAAAACAAAAACAACATAGGACTGTAGTGGACTGCTTATTTGAAAAAATGGCGTGAGGAGATTAAAGTGAAGCTACACATTTGAAAAAAAAAACGAAAAAATGAGCATACATTAAAATGGTTATTAGAATTTATCATATAAGGTCTGTCATAAGAGGAATCATTCAAAAAATAAATTGAAAATAAATAAATGTTGGAAGTCAAAGAAGCGTAAACAAACAAATCCCGAAGAAAAGGAGGGAAGAAGCGATCAGCGATGGATATCGATCCTATCCAAGATGAGAGGGATTTTAGAGTTAAGATCCAGATGACCATGGACGAGATCGGAGACGTCGACGGAAGAGATATGCGGGAGATTAAGGTCTCTCAATCCGGCGACATGAGCGACTCTACGGGCGCTAAGGAGCGAATCAAGACGGGCAAGAATCGCTAATACCCAGTCGTTCTTGCTGTACACATTCACTACCCTCCGACTCGTCATTCGCCGAATCGTCTTCCATTCTATCGGGTCCGGTGATAATGGCGAACAGATTAAGATCACTTGGTCGATTTGGAACTCCGCCGCGCCTCCCCCTCGTTTCGATAACTCTAGTAAGGCTCGGACTATCGTAATCGATCCCATCCCTGAACCTATCTGTTTTTTCCCTTCTTGTTAGTCGTCTTCTTGGTAGAATTATTCATGTTTTTTTTTTTACTTACTAATGTTAGAGGACGCGCACCGTGAGCTTTTTGCTCAATCATATCCTATCGATTGATCAAAAACAGAAAACAATAACAAAACTATTAACATGCATGATTGAGAGTGTAGAGTGAGAGGGGAGAACGTACGGCGAGCAAGATGCCAGCCTTTTCGCAGATATCACGAGTCCGTTGGTACTCGTTATCGAGTGCCATGACGGCGGCCTTATAGATAGAAGCGGGGAGGAGGAGGGCGGCACAGACGGAGGCAAGGACGGTGTGTCTGATGATCTCAGTGGCACCGTGTTGCAGTAAGGTGTCCCTGATATAGGTTTCCAGGTCCTTGCCTGCTGACAGCAATGCTCCGGTCTCTACCTTTAACGCATACACGTCCCGGCGATCGATCGTCTTGCTTAATGTCGGCATCCACATGTCTTTGTATTCCGTCGCCGTTAGTAGAAATCCTGACGAGACGATCGTCGCCTGACACACAGCATTTTTTTACATTCGTTAGCATCTTTTAATGTCTTGATGTTTTCGTCTGAAAATATTCGCTCACATGTAAGCTCGGGATGCGGGGAAGATCTCCATCCACTTCTCCGTCCTGATCAGGCAGACGTTCGAAGGTAAATTCGTCGATCCCTTTGAGTCTTCTCTGGGCCCTGAGTAAAAGAAGGAAAGGGAGTCAGAGAGAGAGAGAGAAGATCTAAAAGAAGAAGACGGTTGTTGACCTGTATCCTACCAATCCCCCGCCGGCCAGGCCGAAGAGGGTGCCGATGAGAATCGCGCCTCCGCTGGTAGCCAGGAAGCCAAGTGCACCGCCGGAGAGGCCGACCAGGAAGGGCGCCAGGACGGGCGCGGCTAGGCCTCCGGTCAGTCCGATCGCAACCCCACCCACGATCACACCCGCACCGGCGCCCAGGTAACGCAGCCATTTCTTCTTCCCGGCGGCGGCGAGAATGGCCGCCTTGGAACTCTTCGTTAGCTTGCTCTCGGGCGTAGTCTCGGCTTGGTCATCTTCAACTTCTCCGTCCCCTTGTTGTTTGGAAGCCGCTTCGTTCTGTTGTTGGAGGATGAAGAATAACTCTTGGGCTACTAGTTTCTCGGCTCCATAGACAATCGTCGGCTCGATCCCAAGAGCTTCTGCTGCTTGAAAAACTAACTGTCGATCTAATGCTGAGTAATTTAGGTTCTCATTCGTCGTTGGTTTGGATGAACTAAGAGGAGCATTGGTGGGCGAGATGTGGGAGGCTGAGAGGGAAAAAATGACTAGGTCGTGGATGATCTCGACATGCATCGTCGATGGTATCTCTTTCGAAAGCTCCGTCAGGTCCGTTCTTAGTGGCTTCTCGGGTAATGAGGCTGGATCTACTTTGACCGATTCTAGGATAAACTTCATCCATCCTTCGCATCCTTTCTTCCGAGTCTCGAGCCATTCTTGATGGACCCCGTGGTCTAATTCTTCAGCCTTCTCCGCGGCGATCTCTTCCTCCTTTATCTTCTCTTCCTCTGATCTTGTTGGGACTCGAGAATAACCTATCGTTGTTGTTGTTTTTGGATGGTCTACTTTCTCCTCCTTCTCGATCGTTGAATCTATTGAAGATAACTCTTTAAGTGTTGGATAATGATTGTCTGAAGAATGGGCTGTAGTATTCGGTTCAGGTGGAGGAAGACTGTCGACTAGGAGTGGGGTTGGTGTTGTTGTGGGTGGAGTTGTTGGGGGAAGACTGGGCGAACAGAGTGGTTGGAAGGACTCTTCTAATCGGTTCGCTTGGACTTCTTCGCTCGCATACTTGACTGCTATCGAGACGATCTGGAGGTGGAACGGCTCCCATCTTTCATAGAATAGGTCTACTTTCGTCGGGTTATCCATTTCTTTTTTTTCTCTCTTTTTTTTTTTCTAATATTTTAAAGGCTGAATGTATCGTACGTATTCACACGTTTTTGCGGGTTTTTTTATGTTTACGTTTTATCCTACAGGAGTGATCATCAGAGAGAGTGGATGTGTCAGTTATTATTCTTCAGACCATGAAATCATTTTTGAGCCAGTGTTCAAGGGGGAGGTATATCTTCATACCAAGAGTGACATATTTCGTTCGAGTTTTCTGGGTTTTATGTACCGTCAGAGTGATGCTGTTTTCTTTTTAAGATCACAAATGATGGTTAACGTGTTGTGGTGATACGACCCCGTAGATACGTACCCCCGATCTGAGATCCCCCGGTGAAACCTTACAGCAGATCGTGTCTCGGGGCCCTCGGGTGAAACTTTGCCAAGACAAGACCCTGAGCACCAGCAAGAACAAATCTGCAGTGACTCAACAATGAGTCAACCCCCCTTGGTGGGAGGCTGGTTGTGTATATCGTAGCACTGGTATCAGAAGCCGGGGAGGGGAATGGCTGTGTTATTGAATGTAAATAGTTACTTGAGTACTTATTTACATTGGTGAGATGATCTTTGGGCCCTTGCTCTTGATCAGGGTCGATGGAACCGGTCTAATACTTTGACAATGCTGAAAATCATTCAATCGTGATGGACTTCTAAATCACTGGGTCAATCAACTCATATTTATGTACCAAATGTTAACCCATATTTGATTGGTCTCAAGGGGGCTTTCTTCAAGTAAATGGAGGAAACTCAATCAATTTTTTCACAGGAGTGTTTTCTTCTTTTTTCATGTCCTTTGTTATATATATATATGTTACATTCTCTCTCTTTTTGGATCATCATCAGCAACTCGTATAGACAATGAAAAACAACTTGTATTGATGGATGGAAATGGGACTGAGTTTTTGTTTGTGTCATATGTGTACGTTTTCATTGATTTTTGATGACAGTGTAATTTGGAAGACATGGGTGGCAAAAGAAAACAAAAAAAATGGGATGGTTAGTGAATTGATTCTCGTTTGAAACTGGGTGTGTGCATGTGAGAGAGAGAGAGTGAGAGTAGATACAAGTAGATGATCAGAGAGTGAAGACGACGAGGAGGAGTGAGAAATGAAAAAAGTTGTTTAGGGAAGTAAAGAAAGATTGGTGAAGTGAAACTGGGGGGTTTGAAAGAGAAGAAAAAGTTCAAATCGAAGTTTAGCGAGTCGGGTCGCCACGATTAACAGAAAGAGGAGAAGGAGGTCGACCGATGAAGGTAGTATTAGCGGTCCGAGGACTAAGACCAGAGGAAGAATAAGCAAAATCGGGTTCGGGCATCCGACGCATCTGTTCCTCGATCGGCGTGGGTGGGCCACTACGTTCATCATGATCCGAGTTGCTCCAGCCGATCACTCCGTCTAGGAAGCGGAACCCTTAGACGATGGAAGATCGGTAGCCTTCGGTAATAGCGCCATGCAGAACGTGCAGGTGAAGTTCAGGGTGAATAAGGACGGGTGAAGGTCCAGATGAGTGTATGGGGTACAGAGCAAAAATCTGGGAAATCAAATGGAATGTTTTTTGGTTGGTTTTAGTGGTGGTTCATTTATGGAAGTCAAGATGAGTATGATTAGAGGGATATTAGGTTGTGACTCACAGTGCGATTGGTAAGATGGTGAGCCACTTCTTGGTAGGAGTGTAATGAGCACCCATGTCGATCTGTTCCCACATCGTCAATCGATCGTAGACTCCACCCGAAGATTCAAATGGGGTGCCAGTGATATAATGGAACATGATGTAGGTCCCCTTTTTCAAAACAAAAACAATTCACATTACTATATACGTATCAGAGAGAAGAGGGTAGGGGGGGGGGGGCGGGAAAAAAGCAGAGAATGTTCCTTACGACATCGTAACAGATGTTGACTGTTGTCCAGCTAACATCTTGAGTGATTCCCGGAATGATGTCCACTAGAATCTTTCCTGAGAAGATCAAGACTAGATGGATCATCCATGCACCTGATGTGTATAAGCGAGTCGAAATAAGATGAGTAAGAAGCTTGTGTTTGAGGGGCTGAGAGAGAGAGATGTATATACCTTTATAATCTACCCAATCAACGTTAAGATTCGGACCCACACCTTGATCGAGTTGGTCATCGTAATTATCTTGAACTTCGTGGACGCTCAAGAGACTACTAGATCGACCTCTTCCATGTTTGAATTCATCAGAATCTGAGAAGTTGGACGGCGACTGGAGCGGACTGGTCGGGTTAGAGTGCGAGGAGAAACCGAGGGAAGAGGCGGGAGAGATGAGGGATCCAGGTGGAGCAGAATGTTTATTATTGTTGTTGTTATGATCATTGGTGGTGGTGGCAGTAAAGGTGACTCTGGCTCGTAAGTTCGATTTCCTTGAGATCGGCGAGTCAGGTGGTGGTGGTGAGAGTGAGATTTCTGGCGAGGCACTGGTGGTGATGGTGGGCATGGTCAAGATGGGCTATGGGTGTGCTGCTGTTGTTGTTGTTGAGTCTGTTCTTCCCAAGTCGACTTCCTCCGCTGAACGACTTAAATAGCAAAACAAGAAACCCGGTCTGTCAAACGGGGGAACCCGACCCTTTCAAAGACGCCATGGCTCATGAACCAACCAACCCCTGTTACAACAAGGGTTAAATTCATACCCTTTGTTGATTAATCACTCGCTAGTTCCTCACCCTGAAAGACCTTTTTAACCGAGTCCCTCGAGTCCCTCATTTAGGAGTATTGGCAACCCATCCTTCAATCCGGTGGTATCATTGAGATAACTGTTGGTGCTGTTGTGTAACAATATTCATCAAGTAAGAGATTTCTCTTTGCTTTATTGTCAAAATTTATCTTTCTTACTTAGTTTAGTTATAAAAGAATACAAAACTGAGATGTAATTTCTGTTTGAGTCTTAATGCTATATCATACAAAAAGTTGAACAGATGAGCAATAGTCTTGTCTTACCTGAGAGCAAGAGTATTGGCGCAAACAAGTATGTGAAAAAAAAAACCAAGTAGCCAGAGGCTAATAATGAAACATATGAAGAACAGTGAAGTAGAAAGGAAGAAGATTGGAGAAATTTGTCTGAGGACAAATAAGATAAGAGATTTTTTTTCTGAGGACAAGTAAGAGAGGCAGGGGGAGAGACAAGTGGCGGAACAAGGTCTTTGCACTGCTTGTAGAGGTAGATAAGAATGAGGAGTTGTGGCAATGTTCTTATGAAAAGAAGTTTGGTTGATGAGGAGCAATGGGATCTGAGTTTGATCCCAAAGCCCAGGGGGGGGGGGGGCACAATTGTGTCAACACATTTTTATTTTGGGTCTTGGCTAATCAACTCCCAAAAATTGGAGAGTTGAGTCCCAAACCCCAAACCCCCAGATTTTCCACCAAAATCCCCGAGAAATGGGAGTCAATCCCCCAAACCCGTCAGCGGGTTTGGGAGTCAAGACCCCAAGAAAAATAATAATAAAAAAAGCCAACCCCCTAAGGAGTGGGGGGTCGATGCCCCAAAACCCACTGGGTTTTGGGGGTCCCTAACCAAAAAGAGCCCACAACAGCCGGGAGGATGCCTCCTGGCCGCTGAATCCTCCCAGCCACTGATGGCACACCCTCAGCGGCCGAAAGAAACACTCTTGGCCATTGAGAGTGCACACCCTCAGCGGCCGAGAGAAACAGTCTTGGCCAATGAGAGTGTACACCCTCAACGGCCGGGAGAAACCCTCTTGGCCGTTGAGAGTGTACACCCTCAGCGGCCAAGAGAAACACCCTCAGCAGCCGGGAGTGTTTCTCTTGGCCAAATGAGAGTGTACAGCCTCAACAGCGGTGTGGTATACCTTAATGGGTAGCCATCTGGCCCATTTAAAAATTTTTAGA